ACACACACACACACACACACACACACACACATACACGCACACACATCGTTTTGAGGCTCCTGACTGAGAATCTGTCAACCCGATGACATGGTTTGTTCGGTTTCATGTTTCATCATGCTTACCAACAAAACGCATCAACAATCAACATTCTGTGCTGCAGACATGACAATATTTCCCTGGAATAACCCACGTTTCCGTCCCATCTTCTAGACACTTTGGGCACCTGACACCAGGCATCTGAATAATGGCCTCAGCTGGTTTGATAATAGACGGTTATTTCGTTGATTCTCAACTTACCGGCGACATGTCATTGCTCATACCCGAGCCATGCAGCCACACCAAGCTCATTCCTGGTTTGAAAAGTCTGAGAACCATTTTTCTTTTCTTTTCCTTTGGTAATTAGGATTCTGGTTCGCGCTTGTAGGTGGTGTGAAACATTCGATTTTAACGGTTTGCTTCCTGCTATGCAAATTAAATCGAAGTGCTCAAAAGTCAAAAGGGTTCAGCTGTCAGCTAGTATAATAAAACGTTCAACCTACCAACTATAGGCGATAAGAGTTCTTTCAATGTTGGATCCTCGACTTATTCACCTTCCTCGAGTGGATCTGGTTGCTCAGTTCGAGGCTTGGTTTTTATTCTCAGCAACTCGGTGGAGTCGACGTCTATTTATGATACAGCAGGAAGTTTCTAACTTTTTCTGAGATTAACATAAACCCCACGATCGACGAAAATTCCAGAGTAGTCACATGGACCGATAACCTCCCTCGATCCACGGTTCTCTTGGAGGAAGTATGGGAGAACTTGCAGATCAACAGTCCCACTTGAGGCGCAAATCGCACTGAGGATAAGCTAATTATCATTATTGGATCCCGTCATGATGTGGCTTAAATTCGCTCAACCCAGCGCATTTTTCCAGTATCAACGAAAACTAACCTCCAGCGAAGTGGGGATCATTTTTGTGATGCCGTTCCAAGTGTTTTTGAATGGGAGTGCTGGTATTTTGTTTTGTGTTTGCATTTGCAAATAGCTGACGCTGACTCTCTCACAAACGTACGTTGGACGTTCCATTTTGTGGAGGAAAGTTTATTCGATTCAGGTAAATTTGATCAACCAGTTGCGTCCACGTTCTTGGAGCATATTGGCAATGGAAGTGTTCCTGTCAATCTTTCCTGAGGTACTGTGACAAGGTTGACGCATTTCCCCAGTGGATCATGAGCGTGACCAGTGCCGTGAATTTTGACTGTCAAGGTTTCCTAGATGGTTTACTCGTAAAATAGCGTCATTGTCGATGGAATTATACCGAAACCATCACTCCCACGAGATCAACTTGCTAGTCCGTTGGAAATACCTGTCCTTGCAGAACGCTATTAATGGATCTTATAAGTGGTCGGTAGGTGGCCAACTGCTATTTTTACATGGCAAATTCCGCAATAGAATAGAACATCTCACAAAATGATTTGGACATTGAATACAACAGCTTGTTGCAGCCAATTTAACGTACCGAAACCTGCCTGAATTGAATACTTTTAGGCGCAGAGCATGCAACCCACAATATCCAGAAACGAATTACGACAGCCTGCCGCTACAAACAGTTCCGATCGCATTGAGATTTCCTCGGCCAAGGACGATACATACTAGGAGAACCTTAAAATCTCCAAATTAAGCGACCACGGCATTATCCTACAGCGATAGACGTGTTGTTGAATAGTGGGTCCGGTTCGTATATTTTCCCCCTGACGAATCGTTTTTGCCAACCAATTGAACCCTGCTTTTTGGACTGATCATTCCAAACGACGCCATGACATCACCGTTGTGATATAATGGCATATACCGCATACAAAGACTGATTATCCCCATTCTGACATCATTGTCACCATCACTTGCCCCCACCTGGACCCTTAGAGCTTGGTCTGGGCTGCTTCCCCTATGGAATCCGTACAAAGCGATTCCAAAATTTGCTGACTACCAGACAAAGTCACTGATTGGGCTACGAAGTTGCATGTTTGCTTTAAGCGTTCGTTCGTAAGAAGCATTCAAGAACATCATCCGGGAAATTTAACTTCCATGTTCGCGAGACGCAACCTCGATTAAGAAACATCAACCAATCAACGACATTACCATCCTGTAAGGAAAATAGAGCTGTCACAAATCGATTTCGTGTGCATGAACCATGCATGGTTGTGAACAGTGACAGGGTGAAAACACTATTTCCGCGCTTGTACTTTTTGGTTGGTGAGAGAATGGAGGATCAAGCCACAAGAAGAGGAGATATATCAAAAAAGCAAAGAAAAATAAAAAGAAAGAGACCGAACATACATGCCTAATCTTTTCGAGATTTGTTAGAAGCCGTCAACCCCTCTCCACATGAAGATCTGCTCGTTCATATTGGAAATTGTGGTATGAGAAATATGACAGATTAGATTCCCAGGCCTATCACCACTACCACGAGGGCTGTTATCTTGAATATATCCGGATGATTCTTCTCGAGCCTTTCCCAGGGAAGACTTACATGTGACCTTGGAGGGGAAACCTTCCAAGGTTACCTAAACATGATGGATGTCTAAACAGCATGTTATTAAACAGTTGAAATAATGGTGCTTGTCTTCTGCACACTGCCTGGTTCAAGAACGGCAACGGTCCAGAAGTTATACAGACAACAAAACTCTAGCTGAGGGGTGGATGTCGCGCAACGAAGTTGAAAAGAAGGATATCTCGTTGACAAGTGACCTGACTCAGTTGTTCCATGATCCAGTCGATATCGCACATGTGTTTGTACGTTAAGATATTTGCTTCGAGATTTTGACAAGCAGAATGCCCGGTGACTCTCTCCCCTTTGTGTCAAACAGCCGGATGAACCGGTATCCTTGGCGCAGCCGATCGAGTCTGATGCACGCCCATGCCGCTAAATCATCTCTTCCAATCTCGTCGTCCTTAACTTTGACTCTATCGATTAAAATATTCATTTAGTGTCAAGTTGCAGCAAGATTAAATCAGAATGGGATATGCACGAGAAATCACAGCATATGCAAAGGGGTGAATAGATCCACGCAGTCGCATGAGCACATGTTTTCCAGTTAGGGAACATTCTACTCCCTGCCTTTTTTTGTTCAGATTCTGTTTCCCCCTCTCCTTTTAGCAAAAAATACTAGCAGGGAAATATATTTTATTTTGATATCTTTCGGCTGACGTGGCACGAATCATTCTGCATGGGATTGTCTGAACGAACGATACCGCAGCGAAATGGATTGAAGCGGGGTAAAACAACATATTAAAATAGGGTTGGGCGCGGGAGGTTGGGGTTTGAAGGTGTTGTTTGAAGGTGTGGGGGGAAGGGGGTTGGCGTAAAGGCCTTGATAACTAGAGAAACTAGAGTCACTAACCTTAAAAAGCTCAACTCTTCAAGAGAAACTGGCACACTTAGGAACTGTAAAACCTGCACTCCAAAATCAGGGTCTGAGCCACTCGCGGATTTGGTCTTCTGTTTGAACTTTGCAGTTTCGTTTCCATTTTTATCATTTTCGCTGGCGTGGACATTATCTTTGGATCGCTCAACATGAAGCTGGCAGGTGACATATGGGCGGAAGCCTCTTGCGTGCTCATCACCTTCTGGAAGAGGAATATTTTGTCCGCCATAAATCTCAATAGACAGATTCAGGGTGCGATGTTTCGCAGTATTTTGAAGACTACCTTCATTTCCTTGCGTTGCCTCCATTTGCCTTGTGGCCCATGCTTTTCCCCGGTAAGGCTCCGGCTTGAGTACCCAGCCCTGATGACCTGCGAACATTCCCTCGTTTAACATCATCCCTTTGTCACAATTCTGCCAGTTTAAAGCAACGATTTGAATCCCCTGTCTCCAGTAAAATGACGGGTCTAGATTAGAAGAATTGATGCGCAGGCCAGATGGATAGGCTCGCATCATATATTCTCGATTATGCTCAAAAAGAGCCTGGCGATCATTTTCATGCGCATCCTTCACAGCTGCCTCTGAGAGGGAGAATATGTGGGTTGGGTGGCTTGCCTCTGTTGATGGACTTTGGTAAGCCAGTTTCCTCGCAATACGAGATGCCTCAAAGAGTTTTTCATTTCATTCGTAATTTTTGATTGCTGCGTTGTCTCGGTTCACCCACATTGTTTCAAACGGCCGTAGCGGGACATTATTATTATATTGATAACGTACCTTGTTGTGAAAATTTGGTGAAAGTGTATCCACGCGTGTAAAGACCGAGTCGACTTAAAGAATGCAAAATTTTCGAAGGTTTTGTCTTAGCTTGAGAATTAACGTCCGAGCTATGTTCGTCTGCGTCTTCTTTAGTGCCATCATCAGCTATTGCACCAGAGAGAGCTCCCTGGATTTCCAGAGAGTCTCCGATTGTATCCGTGATCTTTGTTTGATCGGCTCCCAGTTGAGGTGGTGCCCATTTCACTTTGATTAAAATCTTATTTCGCAGTTCTCCCGGACTTGGCAACGCATTGATTTCTCCTTTTTCTAACTTGGCTTCAATGTCAGGTGAAACCTCTATAAGCATTCCTTTCCATGCCTGAGTCATGATTTCGACCATAACATCTTGCTGCTCGAGACTGGCATGGACTTCCAAACTAACAATGACGGGCAGATCACTGGTGAGGAATGCATAGTCTCTAATTGCAAAGCATACGTCGCGGAATGTCACTTCTTTTGTCAGAGTATAGCCATGCAAAACCCGAGGCTCAAGTCGCGGACGAACAGCTAACGCTGCCACTCCCGCATCTACAGCTACAGAAACAGCATTAGTAGCTGTCGTTACTGCAGCAGTTTCAGTGCTGGCGGCTTGCGGCTTCGTGGCCGATCCTTTAGAAAATTGGTCCAAGCGGCTTGATAAGTATAACAAGTTGAAGCGACTACCCTTCCTGCCTTTACTCTCCTTGCTCTTCTTTTGCGAGGTTCTGTGATCACCGCGTTGATCTTCCGAGTTCGATGAATTGGAGTCGCTCTCGGAATCTGGTTCGCCATCCCACACATCGATTTCAAGACATCTGCATCCATTCAAAAGAACCTAGAAAGACATACGTGGTAATTAGCTGGAACATCAGGCGACTCGTTCTCATGTAGCAATAATGAATGGCATCTTGAACCATTGTTGAAGGCCATGACATTTCGGCAATTTCATCCACCCAAGTGGAAGCAAAGCTCAGTAGAGGGATATAACTCGGAAGAGTCCAGGTGCCTCACTTCAACAAAGATAAATATATAACCAATTGGCCATTTGAATTCCATCAATTATCTATAGAAGTAGCAATAGAGATCCAGTAACTCATGAGCATATCTGATTGTAAAATAGAGGGAGGACGAAGTAAAATTCATCCCCTGGAATAAACAGAATGTGCAACCACCGACAAGGACATTAAGTCCAACAACCCAGACGGCTCGAGATAAGACCAAGTGGGAAAATGAGGGGAAAAGAGGAAGTTGAACAAGGCAGAACAGGGGAAGATGTAAAAATCACATACATTCTTGTAAACTTTTGTACTGGATTCACTATAAAGTTGATTGCCGGTAAGATACGTATTATGACTGGAGCTGATAAAGTAATTATTCATAGGAAGTGATAGATCCTGTGGCCCAGGAGGCGCACCAGCATATGCCGAGGACATGTATCGGACGAAATCTTCCAGGGTTCTAACGCCATTTCGTTTGTTTGGAGTTTCGTGCTGAACGGCCTCGAAGAATGTTTCTTGGTTCTTGGACGAACCCACTGATTCGAAGATACGCTTTAAATGAGTCTGAATATGAGGCAAGAGAACTGGGATTAGGGTTTCCTCAGCCAGGGAACCAGGACCGACTGGGGTTGGTGTCGACATGATGCGTAATTCAACTGGAGTTGTAGGGTCCTGACAGAAGACCTGGGCACAATAAGTCGCGGAGTTGAGAAAGATAAATGAACGCAGTCCCCGCTTGGCTTATTGGATTTGTTCTTGGAAAATGAGAGGGAGGCCCAGGGGAATCGATCACATTGACTGTTATTTTAAAGCACAACTTTCGTTTGCCTCAGTCATGACAAAATAGACTGGGACGGCGGGGTAAATTGGAGTTTTAGGGGATAATCCCACCAGAGGCTTGGCTTGTGTTTCAAACTTAAAAAAGCGAATATTCTTTAGAACTTGAAAATGATATGGAGTAAGACATGAATGAAGAAACAGAAGGAACTGAGTAAGGAGTCCAGGAAATAATATCCTTGTGAATTTGGCAGATATTTAGAATGAATAAATCGGTTCCAGCCCGAAATGTCGAAATGTGATTCCGACTTCATCCTACGGACGTAACTCAAAGTACACACCTTTGTGATCCTGCTTTCCATTGCTTGCCGAGTTTTTGATAGTTACCCAAGCTGTCGTTTCTGCTCCATAGATCCTGCGACAGGGATAATGTCGAAGGTATCTTCCAAAAAAGTTGCTACGGAAACAATTGCCCCGATTGAGTGCACAACAAAATTGCGGAGTTGTATGTGATGGACAGCAGCACTCCCCGCATCGTTCGTGGGCAGACGACTTCAGAAAATGCAAACCTCACCCCGATATATTCAATGTAGCTGGATCGTAGATGTATATCGTACGCATGTATCCAAAACAATCTCAAATAGACCATGGGGATGAAATCAGGTGGCTGTTGTCAATCCCATAATGAAAAATAATTGTGATAGTTGTGAGAGGGAAGACGCATAGTTGTCGCTCTAAGGGTCTTTAAAAAACGCATAACTTAAAAAAAAACTCAAATGCCATTGCTAAAAATCTGGCATTAGATTCAAAGGTCATATGCTTTGAAACGATGGACAATGATTCTGAACACAGGATAGAAATTAGCAAATATCAATAGACATAACACAAAAAATAATCCGGCAAGGGGGAGTCTTGGAGAAGGCCTGCAACCCGCCATTGCTGTCGACCTTAAAGATTTTGAGAGCACAATAGGTAAGAACTACTTCATCACGTCAGAAATACGTGGCCCAGCTAAAAAAAAAAATTCCGTGAAATGTCCTCACCAACGGTTAACTCACTTTTCATAACTTTCCGAACGGAATCGGTGTTGGATACGATGTTTCAAAGCAAGGAGGAGTCACGGACACTCAGCACTTGAAGGTGATCACTACCAATAAGATCCGCACCGCCTAAGATAAAGCTGAAGAACCCACTTGGTCATCATCCATGTCGTGGGGATATATGTTGCCGTCTCAGCATCAGATCAGCGAGAGAACTGCACTGGCAAACCGAAAGAACTCCAGCTGATGCATGTGCGGGTACGCGGAACTTCCTGGAGAGGAGGGTCATGACTATGGAAAGATCTTCCATCGAGTATTTTCTGAATTATCGACCTATTTAGATCGTTGTAGATTCTATTGCTCCATATTAGTGCCTAATGTTCGTAGAGGTTGCGATCCAGAGACAATATTCATGATGCCCTCTTGCATGGATAAATGCTAGTAACATATTCGGCTGATATCTTAGAGTCCTCGGTTATCAGCCTACCTCTTAGTCTGTCTCGATATTTGTGTTGACGCAATGGAAATGTCAAACACAATATCCATGGATGACGTCCACCAAGGTTGGAATAGCTGTAAGCAAGTGAGTTTCTTGCTCTTCCAACCCCCCAGGGCCAGTACTCAAAAAGATAATAAACTCCTCAAAGTCAGAGACAACCGTGGCACAACAGAATCAAAGAAGTGAATAAAAATGCAAGTCCACTTGTTAATGGTGTCCGAAGTCATGAAACCTTGACCAGGGAAAAAAATATATGCCAGAACCTCCAACGCCCGCCCCGCCCTCCAAAAGAAGAGGAATGGGAATAAAACCCCAGTAAAAAAGACGAAAATTCTTAGCACAGTACTTCCAAATTTTAATACCAAATTTTAATACGGTGTGAGAGAAAAATGCGCCAATACCATCAACTGAAAAAGCCAAGTATAAAAGAAATGTTAATTTCCAGTCTCTAACTTCTTGCTCAATCCAAGAATGCATGTATGTACTTGTGTTTATATAGACAAACCAACCCAGATGGCGGCACGTCGAAATATGGAATCGTTTGGTGCCGGATTGTAAGTTTTCAGCCACTCGCCGTTGAAGGCGTTGACCAGCCAGTCAGCAAGACCTGTGAAGAAAATAGTCAGTAAAGTTATCAGGTTGTATGACACCGCCCCTGAGCGCAAGCTGCTCTACAAAGGGCAAGATCTTAAAAAACATACGGCTGTAAACAATTTTGTGTGCATTATGAAAATAAATGCTGTGATCAGAGTCTGGAAAGAAGTGGACATCGTAGTTATGAACGTTGTTCACATCAAGCTTATCGATAAAGGTGAGTGAGTTTTGAATGTGGACATTGTCATCAGCAGTTCCATGCATAACTAGGAAGCGAATATTATTTGCCAAAGCTGTGGTGTTGGAAATAGCTGCGTTATCATAACCTCCTGGGTTACGTTGAGGTGTGTGCATATAGCGTTCGGTGTAGATGGAATCTAACCATGTTAGCAAAAGCAAAGCAAGCTAACCCGGCTCGTGCATACCATAATATCGCCAGTCTGTCACTGGTGCTACTGCTATCCCATACTTAAAAGTTCGTCCACCGTCTTGCTCAATAGTTTTCAGAGCCATAAAACCTCCATAGCTCCAGCCCCATATTGAGATCCGTGATTCGTCAACGTATGGTTTTGCCGCCCATATTTTGGCAGCTTGTATTTGATCTCGAGATTCAAAATGTCCAAGGTTACCCCGAATCACGCAACGGGCCTTCCGCCCAATGAACCCAGTGCCTCTGCCATCTACAGTTACGACAATATATCCTAAATTTGCGGCAACATAGCTTTGGAAATCGACATTGAACTTCTTATTAACGGTTTGTGACCCTGGCCCACCGTACAAATAGAAAAGAACGGGGTATTTCTTTGTCTGGTTGAAGTTTGGAGGGCGCCGCTCCAGCACAGGCAACGAGAACCCATCAATGTCGATATACTGGTATATCTTTGACTCTAGGGTATATTGGCGAAGCCTTTCAGATAGACGGTTATTCTCCTCAATAGTTTCTTCAAATGTGACTTCGTTCGCAGGAGTGCTGATGACTTTCTGCCAGGGTACCTGTGGGCCTGCATATTTCAAAAAAGCATATCCAGCTCCATTTGAAAACGAAACATCATAGTAGCTGCTTTCTGATACGTTTGTCACTGGTTGAATAGAAGTACCGTCGAAGTTCACACTGTAAATATGCCTTTCCCATGGCTCATTTCCCGCAACAACGAAATAAACCAAGCCCCTCTTCAGGTCAACCCCAGACGGCGCTTGAACGACCTCTGAGTGACCCTTTGTGAGTACAATCGGGTTCGGATTATCAACCGGAGTATAATAGGCTAGTTGATCACGACCTTCATAAATGACCGTGTCAATATAGCCATCATTGAGTCGGCCATTATCCGGATCCGCAGGAATGAACCGTGCGGTTTGTGACGGCTCAACCCACCCGCCGTCCAAAGCATTAATGTCTTCCTTTCGGACAATCTTTCCTGTCCTCGATAATACGTCAATTACGGCGACGTGGAGAACATCACTCTCGCGATTAGTACTTCTCACTATGACCTTGCCGTTCGAAGCCCACACAACCTCAGTTATAAGACGATTGCTGTCAGCAAAGTCGCCTTTGATATCTACTGAGAAAACTTCGTCCTTTCCAACATCAAAGAATTGGAGATCCACGATGGGGTTAGGGGCACCAGCTTTCGGGTACTTGATCTTCCGGGTTTCAGGATAGCTTTCTTCGCCGGGTTTAGAGATCTCCCCATTAGGTAGTGACACAAAATATTGCACAGGATATTCTGGCACAGAGGACTCGTTGGTGCGAAGGAAAGCGATATATTCACCATCATCTGCCCACCAAGTCACACTGTTGCCTGAATATACCTCCTCTTCATAAACCCAGTCTGGGACTCCGTAGAATAAATTAACACCACCATTAGTGGTAATTTTCATCACCTCATTTGAAGACAATTTCCTAAGAAACATGTTGTTATCTCGTGTAAACACAACAGCGTCGGATCGGGGAGACCAGGACGCAAGTTGGACTCTTTGGTCCTTCGCTGCAGGATCGAGTGGCTGCCCAGTTTGACTCTCGACGTCAAACAACCAGTATTTCCCCGTAAACGAATGTCGCCAGTTTTTCTCCTCATTTGACAACACCAGAACTGTCTTTAAATCGGGACTTGGCCAAACCCGGGAGGGGAAGACGGCTTCTCCTGAAACATTAAAGTATGCCTTCTGCATTAAAACAATTGGCTTCTTTGACGACTTTGGGTCCTTGCGGCTAACAATATCTTCCACTCGTAGATAGCCGTTGGAAATAGATGCACCTCTCTCTAGTAGCAGCCCGTCCTCGCCATTTGGACCTGGTATCCACGATATGTCATGAAAAGCAGGACTCCAGGTTCCATCCAACACTTCATCCAATGTGATCTTATTTCCCTGAGAGCCTGTGTCTGATATATTATCGTCATACACGTTGGACGTCTTGCTCGACTCATGCCCCCCAAATAAAAATAGGACAAAAGAAAGTGACCATCCGCTCAGGCAAAGAAACAAAAGAAACCCTAATACTATCTTGACTTTCTTTTGAACGGGTTTGCCTCCAGATGGTATGTAATCTGCTTCTTCTAGGTCATATTCCCCATCGTCACTGTAGTCGCGATCTCCTCGACCTATCTCGTTAGGACCAGTGTCGTGCGTCGAGCCATTGATTCTATCAATGACGGCAAGGGATAACGAGGCTGCGGATGAAGAGTAATGGAGAGAGTTACTCGAGTCGCGATATTCCATACTGTCCCTTGTCA